AAGTATAAGTTTCAAAAACTACTTCGTGATGTCACGTATCATTCTGTTTTAGTTTTTCAGGTAAGAGGAAGCCGGGAGTACCGCGACTAATATGAGGCAAAAGGAAAATTAAAACAGCACAACTTAGTTCAGATTTTGGCCAACGATATCCATTTTATTAATAAGAAAATTAACAAAGCAAAACGCGGTTTGGAGTGAAAAGTTTTCATTACAATCATTAGCTAGTAATTCAAGGCTCAGAAAAACACAAAGACTAGTATTTAGAGATATTTGCAGATACGTATGCTACCTTTCGGAAAACAACACGTACAAAACTTTGACGAAAACAAGGAAGTTTGTAAATTAATCTACCGTTCGATTTTTTGTGTGTTGGGTTCGGACGTGTCTCCCGCGATGACTTGAATGAGCAAAACATTTTTCACACTGATCACACTTGTATGGCTTTTCACCAGTATGTGTCCTGATGTGCTGAACAAGGGCACTTCTATCAGCAAAACGCTGCTTGCAGAAGTCGCACCGAAAAGGTTTCTCACCAGTGTGCGTCCTAATGTGTGTAATAAGATTTTGTCTCAAAGAAAAACGCTTCTGGCAGATTTCACACTGATATGGTTTCTCACCCGTGTGGGTTCTGACGTGGACCTTCAAGTTTTCTTTTTTCTTAAAACTCTGCTCACACGTTTCACATTTGAACGGCCTCTCATGGGTGTGTTTACGCACATGCGTTCCCAGTTGAGACTTTGAAATGAAAGTGCTGCCGCGGTATTTACCCTTAGGGCTCGCAACGAGGTGTCTGCGCGACACTCCCTTTATCGCCCTCCTGTTTCTAGGACTCTTGCTACTCTCGCCGCTATTGGTCTCATCGATACGTCCATGGTGCGCCTTCACAGCGCCGTCGCTGAGCACGTCACTGTCGTCGGCATTGGACGCCAGATTGACGCGCGGAGGGTGTTGGGGGTGCACTGTGTCGGCGAAGACCTCTAGAGCCCTGGCGAGGTCCTCCGAGTCCTCCTCGCGGCGGCCGCGAAGCGAGTAGCTTCCGGTGACCACCAGCCCCAGCTGCTCGTCCCGGACATCGGCGGGGTCATCGCCGTGCTCGACACCATACTGCTCGGCGTCGATCCCCGGTTGCTGCTTCTCGTTGGCCACCTCTCGTCCTGGTGGGTCATCACCGTGCTCGACACCGCACGGCTCGTCCTTGATCTCCGGATCCCTCCAGTCGGCCCCCTCTCGTACTGGCGAAGTCCCCAGCCGCGCACCTGCCGACAGGAACAGCACCGCGTTAGAGCTCGCCGGGACCGCTAGCACCGAAAGCCGCCCCACCACCGACCGACACGGCGTGCACGTGCAGGACGGGAGAGCCGCTGCTCAGCCCGGGGAGGGGGCGGGGGCTGGGCCTACTGCAACAGGGTCAGGAGTGTCAGAGCCGTTGCGCCCCGCGTCAACGGCGTTAGCGGGCGGAGGACTGGGAGCGCAGGCAGGGCCTGCAACAGAGAGACTAGTCAGGTGTGCGGCCGAGATAGATAGGAGGTATGGTCTCAAATACTACTTTGGGAAGCTACGCATTCCCCCGTTACAGTCCTCAGAACAAGTAGGCTGTCAGGCGAACAAAATACGGCCGGCAGAAATTGTAAATGGCGCAAGAAGGTTGTTCATAAGTTGGTCACCGACATAAGGTCATTGAAAAAAAAAAAAACAATGCCAAAAGTTGTGGGGAATAAAGTTTAATTCCTAATCGCATTGTACTATTTTCAAGATTACAAAGATTCAAACAACACAACTTAACAATTAGCATTTATGTTACCCGTCATAAATCTGGTAAACTAAAATGTTTGGTAATTAATCTTCTACTTGCTTTTTGTGTGATGGGTTTAGACGTGTCTCTCGCGAGTACCTTGCTGAGCAAAACATTTCTCATACTGATCACACTTGTACGGCTTCTCTCCAGTATGTGTCCTGATGTGCTGAACAAGGGCACTTTTATCAGGAAAACGTTGCTTGCAGAAGTCACACCGATAAGGCTTCTAACGAGTATGTGTCCTAATGTGTGCAACAAGGTCACATTTTTGAGGAAAACGCTGCTTGCAGAAGTCGCACTGATAAGGTTTTTCACCTGTGTGTTTCCTAATGTGTCTAGCAAGATGATGACTTAGAGAAAATCGCTGCATGCAGAAGTCGCACACATAGGGTTTCTCGCCTGTGTGGGATCTGATGTGCCCCGTCAGGTTTCCTCTTGTAGCAAAACTGTGCTCACACGTTTCACATTTAAATGGCCTCTCGCCTGTGTGGGTTCTGATGTGCCCCCTCAAGTTTGATTTTGAAGCAAAACTCTGCTCACACGT